CCTTTTGTAAAACCATGGTATATTTTATCCCAATTACCATTTACGTCTATGTCCTTAACTGCTTTCTCTTTCAAAATTTGTTCAAGACCTTGCATACAAGTTTTGTCTAACTAACAGTTTCCTAGATCACGTTTTCTTCCCTTAGGTAAGACCTTAGCAATCCCCCAGTCATAGGGTACGACTCCTGAGTTTACAGATTCATTGAAAAGCCTTGCAATTGTGCTTGCAATTTCATGTGCCAGTTCCTTTAATATTCTTGGATGGTGATTATCCAAACCCATCCCAATTTAGTCCAATTAAGCTGTTCCCTTGCTGATCCATCCCCTCTTCCATTCCTTGTAGACTTTCTGCTTTCTCGTAATCACATGTGTCAGATGCTTTCTCACCTAGTTAGGTCTACAATCCTTCCCTACGATTTTTTTCCCCCTTTTCTTGGGATGCAGGCTCCAGATAGTTTCTGCAACTTTGACTTAAAGTAATTCCAAGCCTCCTTCACATTCAGATCCTTGAGTTCTTTGGTTCAGCCCACTTCCCTAACTAATTCCCTCTATTTCTTAATGTTTGCCCTTTGGAAATCAAGGACTCTAGTTGCCGACCTATTTTTGCTTATCCTTCCATTTAGTTTAAACTCGAACCAAGATAGAACCAGCTGTTCTATGAGTTTCCTGACTACTCACCAATGCCATATCTAAAATGGCATCATCTCTTGCAGGTTCAGCGATGGTTTGGTGAAGAAATCTGTCAGATAGCACATACCCTTTAATACCTGTAATCCAGTCATGACTACTAGTCTACCATGTTTCTGTTATCCCTATAGTATCTGGTTTCACTTCCTTCACCAGTAGTTCTAGTTCCTCCATTTTGTTACCCAGACTCCTTGCACTGGTGTGCAGACATTTTAGTTGTTACTGCTTGGCTTAGCCCAGATTCCTCACCCGATTCTATTGCCGTATCACCTACCTGACTGTTAGCGTCATTGATATTGGCACTGGCTTTCCTCTTAATGTCCGTTCTCCTACCCACTGCTGTTCCCTCATCCACTGCTGTATTCCCCTTTCTTGGTTTTCCTTCTAGTCAATATTAGGATCAGACATGGAGGTTACATTAGCAACTCCCCCGAGTTCCTAGTTCAGAGCTCTTTTAATCAGATGTGCCAACCTCCATCCCAGAAGTCTATTTCCCTCCCTACTCAGATGGAGTCCATGCCATGAGAACAGTCCTCTGTCCGTGAATGCCTCCCAGAGGGCAAACATCCCACTGCTTGAGCCATCTGTTGCTCATCATAATCTTGTCTCGCCTTTGGTCTCCTCCTCTATCGACAGGTAGAATCCCACTGATGATCACCTGAGCCTCCATTTCTTTACACGTCTTCCCCAGCCTGGCATAGTCACCCTTGATGCATTCCAGTGAGAATCTAGCAGTATCATTTGTTCCCACGTGAAGGACAATCAGTGGATTCTTTCCTGCTCCCATTAGGATACTCTTCAGCCTCAGGTCCGCATCTTGTATCTTAGCTCCCGCCAGAGCGCACACCCCTCTGCTCTCAGGATCAGCTCAGCTGATAGGCCTGTCTGTTCTTCTTAGTAGGGAGTCACCAATCACATAGACCTGCCTCTTCCTTGTGTTGGTGTGATGCTCTGGCCTTCCTCCTGTTCTTTCTGGCTGCAAGTCCTCTTGTCTCTTCTTTGCTCTTGCAATCTTTTGAGAGTCATCCTCTATCCTCCTGGGGCTCCAAACTCTGGCTATCTCCATTGACTCTTCCTCTCTTCATGTAGGACTAGCCGCTCTTCTCTTCTTCCTTGTTCTACCACCTTCTGTTACTGCCTGCTGTGCCCCTTCTCGTATTCCAACTCAGGAAACCTGGTCCTGAGCTCTATTTCTCCTTCACTAGCTGGTCTTTTCCTCTGCCTAGTTCTTGTAGTCCCATGCTTCCATTGGCCACTTTCCTCATCCAGCAGCATATCCTCCAGTTGTGCTTCCATCTGCCAGTCTTGACTTTTCCCTTCAGCCTCCTCTTGCCTTCCCTCCATCATCTGCTCGAATCCTGTTTGAAACTCCACCACAGCATCCATCTGCATCTCCAAACCTCAGATCTTCTCTTCCATTAGCTCTGTTAGGCAGCACTTCATCCAAATGAAGGTCTCTTCGGGTACCCGTTCCAGGATAACGTACATCCCACAACGTCCACATCCGGTCATCTTCATTGTTTCTTCCACTTCTTGGGTCACTACCACTGCTGCCTCTGTATCTGTCATAGCCTTCCTGCCTAAGCTCCTGTCAAGGAAAACAAAAACAAAAGAAAAAACCCAACTAAACAAACACCAAAACAATAACAGAACACCCCACCTCTCCCCCAAACTCCCCTTACAAATTTCCACACAAACTCCCATGTTTTCAGCCCTGTTTGCTGGCTCCCATGCCACTGCTTCAGTTCAGGGCTCCATCACCCTGGTGTCTGGGCTGCAGACACAACCCCTATTCCATGGCTTAGCCTTCGTTCATGCTCTGTCTGTCAGTCCTGCACCCTCACCCCACCTAATGTGGGACTGCGGGACACGGGACAATGGGAAGGTCTAAGGTATCTGAGCAGGCTTCTCTTCTGGATCCTTAGATGGAGTGACCCCAGACTCGGATGTCTCCATGCCAGAGAGCAGAGCTGAGACACCAGGAATTGCCTCATCAGTGGAGAGGAATGGAGCTGAGACACCAGGAGCTGCCGCATCAGTGGAGAGGACCAGAGCCGAGACACCAGGAGATTCTGTGTCAGTGGACAGGAGTGGAACTGAGGTTCCAGAGACCTCTCCCAACAAAGTTCATACAGGTAGAGCCCAAACAACATCCCCACGGCCCCTCTCCCAACCCAGGTTCCCCTGCCCTGGTGGTGAAACAAGAGCTGGGTCTCCATGGCCCATTCCATCCTTGGCCACTTGCTAGTTGGCCAATGAGGAAGTCAATTAGGCCCCCCCACATTCCTGTGATTGTTCCATCCAATGTCTCCATCTCTGTACACCTGCACCCGAGCTACAGCCTGCCCTCAGTGTATTGTCCATCTGTGAAGCATGCGGAAGATGCCAGGATTGTGTTACAAATACTATATGTAGAGCTGGGCGGGGAATGGAAAGTACATTTTGTGGAGGTTTCTAAGATTTCTAAATTTGAGATTTTCTCCCCCAATTTGGAACAAATCCCCCAAATTGCAAAATCCTCCATGGAAGAAAATTCCCGGGGGAAATTAATTGTTTCTGGGCCAATGGAAACACAGGCAGCTCTCCAGTGTCAGGAACCCAGCTGGCTCTGGGCACGGTCACCTAGCAACCCAGTGAGCTCGGCTGGGCCCAATAAACCCACACTAAGTGACTGTGCTCCCTAATTGGACAAAGGGCTCGCAGGTCCCTATTTAAGCCCGTTAGCAGCAGCACCACAGTGGCTGCTCAGTGTATTCCACACCCACAGCTGAGTCAGTCCTGCTTCCTGTTTCCTGTCCAGCTCTTAGACTTTGGTCCCCTCCGTTGAGATTAAACGATCCGGCGTTTGGAAAAGGCTGGCGTCTGTCCCTGGATTCACACACTGGTCTCAGCACCTGTAGCTGAGTCTCACAAGGCGCAGGCCCAGTTCAAGACCCAGAGGAATCACAGCTGGGGTCTGTAGCTATTTCCCTGGTGTGTGAGTGGGAGCGTGGGGAGATTCCACCCCAGGGAGGTGAAGGCTTGAGACCTAAATCTTGGGAAAAGTGAGACTGAGAGGAGGCCATGGTGCAGCTGCCCCTGAGCTGTGACATCATGCCGGGTGGTGACACCTTCGATTACAACTGCAGGGAGAAGAGGGGCCGTGAAGACCGTCTTGTCCAAGCTGAAACTCAAGAAGTTCAGAAACCGGAAGCTCAGACTGAGGAATCTCCTGCAAATCAGCCCAGACAGCCTGAAGGACTGGACTCCTCACGTCTTGGGAGACTTGCCTTGGCACTTCCTGAGAAAGCTCATGGCTCTGAACGGGACAGCCAGAAGCACAAGCCTTGGGCAAGGGGCATCTGATGAGGACACAAGTGAGGATGAGGAGGGTGGGATGATTGGACATGTGTTTTCTCTAAGGGAAGA